GAAATTGAAAATCTGTATCTTCTGTGTTTCCACTTGTTCAGTCTTTCCTCTAGTATCTTAAACATGTGGAGGGCAGTTACAATAATATCCTATTAATTTTATCACCTATGGCACATTTGTCAGTTTCTGATTTTTTTTCCCCCTTCCTCATTATTGGTTAGGTTTCCCCGCTTCTTGGCTTGCCTGGTAATTTTTGGTTGGATGCCAGACACTGTGAGTTTTACATTGTTGGGTGCTGGATATTTTGTATTACTATAAATATCCTTAAGCTCTGTTCTAGGATGCAGTTCATTTCTTGCAAATAGTTTCTTTTGGCCTGGTTTTTAAGCATTATTAGGCACAACTGGAGTGGCGTTTAGTCTAGAGTTGGTTTTCCCCAACTACTGAGGCAGAATCCATCTAGCCCTTCTCCGCATAACCTTTTGATTCCTGGGGTTTTCTAGCTCTGACCTGCCCTCTGTGAGCTCCAGGAATGAATGGTTCAGTTCTCCGTGGATGGTTAGAGGTAGTCTCTGTAATGGGTGCTGCCCCCATGTGCACGGGCTGATCGATACTCAGCTAGAGACTCAGGGGCCTTTGCAGACAAGTTTATGTCTGGTGTCTTCCCGAAGGCATCTCACCTACAGGGTCCCTCTCTTCCCTACAGTGCAGTTTGCTCACAGGGTGCCCTTCCCTCTGGCTTACCTTGTGTCGTCCCCCCAAACGCTGTTTGGATGTTCTACCTAACACAGCTGAGAAAGGTCTACTCCCAGCCATCTGTGATTGGTCTTTTACTCTGTAAGATTCCAGTGCCAGTCGGGGGGTGGGGGGGGGGGTTACCAGGTTTGTATCCTTTACAACTGGTTTCTTGCTGGCCCTAGGCAGGTGTTTCTTTTAGAGAAATATTTTCATTCCTCAGGACAAAAAGTTGTGACTTGTGGAGTGCAGGAACTTTATATCGCTACCAGGTTTCCTCAACATCCTCACTTTTCTCTCTTAAAGGTCAGATCTGCTTTGTATGGCTGATAAGATCTGCAACTTGGAACACCTAGCAGTTATCTCTTACAAGTGCCTCCTAAAACAGGGAGAGGGGGGCTTTTCAAAATGTTTTCTATGCAGAATCACGTCATGCTCCTTAAACAGAGACAGTCAAGGCCAAACCTTAGGGATGAGTCAAAGACTTGAATGGAGGCCTCGAGCATATTCTTACCACACTGCATCGGTCCCATGAGGGAGAGGAAACACACCGGGCTTTAGCCATAGACATAACTCAATCAAACCCTTTGCTGGAGGTATTTCTTCAACCCACAGCTGAGTTACAATGTCTGTCGTCATCCTGTTTACTAGGAAGTCAGAGGAGGGTGGGAGACTGGACAAGAAAGCAGGCAGTAGTAGAAACTAAAATCGCTCTGGGTCGGCTCGGCCTTGCTTGTGGCCCAGCTGACTTCTCCAGGATTGGCTGTTTGGTTCCTGTACCTTTACCCAAGGAGGCGGATCTCCTCGCACTGAGCTGGGTCAGGGAGCTGCTCGTAGATTGTCCCAGGGCTGTACTGGTGCCTTGAGTTCTGTTATGTATGCCAGCCTCTACCTTTTTAAAAATGATATATCAAGCTCCTTATAATAAGCCACAGCCTGGAAGATATCAGACGTGTCAAATGCTTCTGCTGTTTAAAGGGCATATTTTATTGAAGGCAGTTGTGTCCCTTTAAGGCCACCTGTCTGCTTTTGGATAAAATGGACCAAAAAAGCCAACTCAATACCCAAGCATTGGCATTAGTGGTATTTACAGAAAGCTTCAAGCACAAATAGCAGCTAAGACTGAGACACAGGATTGTAAGCAGTGCTCTTTTCCCAATGTGACGAGCCCCTTGTTGCTGAGGGCGAGTGCCAGCTGGGCCGGCTGGGCCCTAGTTGGGCTACTCCTGTTTAAAAGGTAATAATTTAACATTCTTTACACCTGGGAATGTAACCTACCGGGATAAGATACTGTTTGGGTGTAAAAGGCACACGTAAGAACTATCTAGCCCCTCGCCTCTCCGAATGCGTCTATCAAATACCAAATGTGGATGTTTGTACAGCCATTAGGCCTGGGTTTTCATGGCCTCTAAGCTAATACTGTTTTGGGGGCTGGCATATGGAGGTCCACTGATCACTGTACTTGCAGATTGGGAAACAAAGGTCAGCAGAGGAATAGAATGACGTGGGTCTACAGGTCCTGACCTAGAAAAATAAGACATGGTGAGTGAAGTGTCATATGTAAAATACTATGTAAAATAGAAATGGAAGGTTGTTGCGAATCAGTGAGTAGAGTCTGGCCCCAAAACTGTGAGCCTACGTGTGGCTGACTGTCCAAACTAAGGAAAATGTCAGGAACAGCACAAGCCAAATTATTAACAGTGGTTAGTTACTTCAGTAGGAGACTGGGGGCAGAAAGGGTAGATTAGCCTGGGAAGGTCTAGCTTTGTACGATTTTCTATAGTTGAGATTTTTAACTTTGTTTTTCCATGTTTTTTATAAAACTCAAAAACTCCAACATTTTGGATAAGTAGGTAAGTGACACAAAACACCAAGTGATCTAGGGAATCCAAGTCGCTCATTGTCCCAAACCCATTTGTTAAGCATGTGACTTTTGGGCATATCATTCATCTCTCTGAAGGTTGAATGTTCCCATAAGGCAGGGAGAATGCCTACTTTATCTCCTATGATTATCATAAAAACGTAAACGTTGCAACAAGATCACGGGTGAAAATATAAAACTCGAGAGTAATACAGGAGTGTCGGGCTCTAGCACTCTTCTGTAAGCTAGAACAAGAAATCGATTATATCTAACTTCCCTCTTCGTACTAGGGCTCCCAGTTTTCACTAAGAAGGTGTGTATTCTCCAACATAGGTTTTGGTAGTACCCACGACTGGCCCGGCCCCAGTTCAAATGCCTCAGCTGGGACAAGTGTAAGATGATCTGGCCGTGGAGCCTCAGTTCCTAAACTGGTGGTTCATTTCTCCTAACGTAGCTGATATCGGTTTTCTTCCTACAGTTTCCCCGCTTCAGAGGGCAGAAACATCCCCGTGATGGATGGAGTTGATCTTTCCCCTTTCATGCTGGGATATACAATCAGATGTCAGTGGGTTTTTCATTACAAGTAGTTTCTGACCAAAAACATCCAGGTGGCTGCCTGCTAACAGGCTATCTCAGGATATCCACTCACTTCAACCATGGCTATCACATGGCCCACGAACCTGGACTTTAACTATAGACAACCTGGGGGGACAGTATCTCCTGAAGAGCGGACCAGTAAACCACTTTAAACAGACACACCAATTCCACAGTTCATGCTTTTACCCTAGGCATAGATGTGGGGTGCAAGATTATGAACTACGTTAACGTTTCTCCCATCTTTGCTGAGGTAATAAGCTACATCCTAACTACCACGCCAGTTAGGATAGACCCGGCCCATCGTCCCCGACAGCTTAGCCCTCTACCCTGCCAGTGCACCGCTGACTCTTTTAGAATTTCATTTATGTGCAATCACGTGTAGTCTTGGGTCTGTTTCTTTTTCCCCCTGAGCATGCTTAGGGATTCATTCATGTTCTTCTTCAGTAGCTCATCCCCTTTTATTGCCGAGAACTACTCCATGATACGGATGTACTATAAGTTAGCTATTCAGCTGCTGATGAACATCTGGGCTGAAGCTACTATAAATAACACTGTTCCCTCGGTTTCCACCAGCAGGACACGGAGGTCCCACGGCACGGGTCTCACCAATGCTCGGTTTGAGCCAGTCTTTCAAATTTCAGCCATTTCAATTCGTACTGTGGTTTTTCTTTGCATCTCCCTGATGACTAATGAGAATTTTTCCCGATGCTGATTTCATTTATCTGCAGGAAATATCTGTTCAAATCTTTTGTCCATTTAAAAAAAGACTGGGTTGTCTTAACTTGTAAGAAATCTTTAGGTATGCATGCTGGACACAAAACCTTTTGACGTACATTCTTTTTTGTGAGCTTTCTCTTCATTTAAATGCCCCAAACAGAATGGGGAAGGAGTGGTGAAAGTCTGTATGTTCACAAATCTTACTAGGCTGGACACGGCTGCCCTGATTCAGAGCAGTAAGAGGACTGGGTTCCTCTGTAGTAGGCTCAGCACAAGCTCCAAGAACCTAATTCTTTCTAACTTTGTTATTTCTACTGGACTTAAAGTTTTGCATTTTATTGTTTCATCATCTTAACAGGAATTGAGAACTTATCTCAAACATTCAACCTTTTCTCAGTACCTATTGGAGGAGTCTAGATCAAAGAAATAAAAGTAAATTAGGAGGCAAGACAAGGCAGACCGACACACTTAGCGTCAGAGGAGAGACCTAATACTTCCCTGCAAAATAAGACAGAACCTAGTTGCTCAACTAAGTATTTAAAGCCATGATTTTATAGTATTGATTACAGCAGAACGGATAGCCTGGGGCAAAAATACTCTTTCATGGTTTCCGAATGTTCATACCGCACTGCTATCAACACGTTTGTTTTAACTCGTCTAGCAGAACAGATGTGTGTTGTGTGAACTCCGTCTCAGGATATCAGAGTGGAAACACCCACGCACCTTCAAGCCCTTCAAATACTCGAGCCTTCTTTCACTTTCAAAGGACTTCGAAGGCTGTAACTGCCAGACGGCCGCTGCTCCCTAATCGTTTCCCAAAGCTACCGTTGTTTCCCACTGCTGGCTGCACGTCAGATGGAGAAGGAACAAATTCTTCCATTCTCCCGCATCAGCGCTGGTTTCATCTGGCCCGCGGTCCTCTGGGCTTCTCCTCGTAATGCGGCTTCACAGCGTGTTCGCACAAGCTGGCCTAATGCAGGAAGCCGGCGGCCTCTACACACGGAGCCAGACACGACTTTCTACTTTATTAAACATTAAAGCGCAAGCGAATGGTCCGGGGGGGGGGGGG